TAAATAAAATCTTTAAAAAAATAAAAATAAAAATAAAAATAAAAAATCTGGGTTTACTGTCATCTATTTAGTAAAATTTTTATACATCTTATTTTTAAAAGGTTATGTTTTTTTGAAACTGGGAAACTGTTTGTTTGACTTATAAAGCCTCACTGTCATAGAATAAAGCTAGTAAGCCAAAGAAATAATTACCCATTTGCACTGAAAAGTATCATTTCTACTGGTTGAAGTTTCCTGAATAGGTAGTTTCTTCCCTGATGCCAAAATAACAAGATGAGCAAGATGACTTTAATAAGTTAAAAAAATAACTGTACAGGAGGTTCCTCAATCATCCATGGCATCAAATCAACGCATGATCAAACTTTCATGTTCACAGACAGACTCGAGTTGCTGTCAGTGCCAGCGCCAGGCCACCCTGTGCCCGCGTGGTGCAGGAGATGGCCTAAGCAGAGCCCTCACTTTCAGAATCATGGCTTCAGTTGTTTCAAGGACAGACTAGGGAAGAATGTTTTACATGTGACAAGACAAAGGGGAAAAAAACCAATTCCACTGAAACAAATTTTTAATTTAGAAAACCCCTCCCGACAGTTTTGTAGAGATTGTATGTGTTGTGTAACAAGAACATATTCTGCATCAGAGTACCCCAGGAAATTTCTTTACATTCTGGTGAATCATGAGCATTAACACCTGCAGGGATTGTATGGATTAAAAAGATGAGACATACACCTACCCCACGGACAGGGTGAACTGTCTTGTCGCATACGAGCTGTCATGTGGTCATGTTTGTAGTTGTCTGCAAAAGGAAAAGAGAGTTGAAGGGACAACAAAACACTTCTCAACAGTAGTGCAATTCACTGAGTTAAACCTCTGCCAGAAGAGGTCCCAGGTGGAAGCTACTCCTGCTATCACCTGTCAGTGCCCACAGCCACCCGGAACTGATTAACCCCAAGTCAAGGAGGGCCAGCTCCTTTCACTCACCTGAATGGCCACTCCCCAGGCCCCTAGACTCCTCAGCCCCTTGCCCATCCAGGACCCATGGCTCTTCTCCTCGCTCCAGCTGAGAGATCACATTGGGCTTTGATCCTGGAAGTCCTGCTCACGGGAGGGAAGGCCTTTTGTCAATACAGTATCTGTGAACACCCCCACCCCGCCTGAGTGACCTGCAGGCATAAGACAGACAGGACTAACATTCCTCTAGAGCTGAATACCTGGAGGCGACCCCAAAACCCCCAGCACAGGGCCCCCAACCCCTGGCCAAGCACACAGACACAGAAGAGGGCTGCTGAGGGGCCATACCCAGGGATACCACGTTCCCATAGGTCTCCATCATCACGTGTCGGTAGAGGCCCCGCTGAGCAGGGCCCAGGCGGTCCCATTCCTCCTGGGAGAGGAGCACGGCCACATCCTCAAAGGTCACCTTGGCCTGGAATGACAGGGGCTGCTGCAGGTTGGACTAAGTCTCCACATCTGAGATGGAGCAGGGTGGGGTGGGGGGGGAGTGGAGATGCCCTTGGTTAGAGGGTAAGGGAAACACATGTGAACAGCTTGGTGGGGGGGAAGAGGCCGCAGAATTCAATAGAGGCAGTGACACTCAGGCTACCACCTGGAGCCCCGGGCATGGGAGGGCTATGAGGAAATGTAGAGGCCTCGGGGGGCAGCTCACCTGGGGTCCTGCCGGTGGTGGCAGGAGCCTGGCCGCTGCCATCCCTGATCCCGAGGTTTCTGAGGAAGATGGAAGTCAGAGGAGCCTGTGGGGCTGAGGAAGAGGTGGGAACACATGAGAGGCCCAGCCTTGCCCTCACAGATTCTGAGTTCTGGGAGTCCAGCCCCGCCCCCCCACTCTTACCCCACAGTTCAGGAACCATGGTCCCTGGACTCTAACCATGAGCCCAGGAACATCCCCTCTGAGATGTTTGGGGACACCTCTGTACCCCAAGGCTCCAGCCACAAGGTTTTGTTCTCCAGACCCTGGGGTCCTCATGGTCAGCTGGGAGCTAACAAGGACTCAGAGCCATCTGCTCAGGCTCACAGTCCACGCACAAGGGCTGGTGCCAGAGTATACACAAAGATGGCAAGCCGTCATCAGGTCTGGTGTGGGTGCCAGGCCAGGCTGCCTCCAGAGATAATCTCCAGGGAAAACAGGCTGAGAATGGCTGGTTTTGCTTGAGGTCCACACTCCAGGCCCTTCATATTTCACTTGACCATAACTCCTGTGGGCCTGTTGATGCCTCAGTCTCCCCTGGTTGTGCCGTGGTGCTCTAGTGAGGCTGGGGTCATCAGCCTGGTGGTAGCTCCACCAGGGATTGGCAACGGAGGCATGATACATGGTTGATTCTGGTAGATTAAGTCCAGAGTCATCCAGGGATTTGGTCTGAGCACTATGGGGAGGCCTGGGGGTGGGCAGGTTCTGGAGACATATCAGGACAAATTAACCTGAGGTGTCTGTCATATTCAAATTACTGGAAAAAATGGGGGGGGGGAGCATTAAGAGCTCTCCTAATGGTGGAATGGGGCTCACATCTTTTGGAGTGTCACAAGGAGTCTGCAACAGGGACACAGAAACCTAGCAGGCAGATCACTCTAGGAAAAATGGTACAAGATCACCTTGAAAAACAGGATGCCTCACACTGCGGACTGCCTAAAGGGAAGGCTTGGGGTCAGGAAGTCAGGAAGCACTACAACCCCATTTTCTTTGTAGAACATCAGATGTATGCGTATGTTTGCATAGACAGCTTTTGGGAATATACACATGGAACTCCTAACTGCAGCTGCCTCTGAGGAACATGATAGCAGACTCGGGTGGAGAGAGGCTGGCCTCTCTCCATCCCTCAGTTCACCAAGAATGCCCATTCCCGCCAAATCTGTGTTTCTGTGTCTATGCAACAGAAATCTAATTCTAATTAGATTAAAATTAGGATTCTAATAGGAGTCTTAAAGGAGTAGAACTACCTTAACATTCATATGAACAATAGATGCTGGAGAACAGGTAAGAATAAGATTTGAAAGAATCGGGGCGGGCGGGAGGGGGGGGGGAGGCTGCCTCACCAGATCTCAGAACAACGATGACCAAGTCACTGCCACCACCTGCTCTGCCTCCTGCCCTACTGATGGTGCACGGGACACCCACACCCTCTCGAGCAGCGCACAGACCTGCCATCTCTCCTGGCCAGTCATCTTACCTGTGGCGTTGTCCAGCTGCTTCCCCTGTGTGGTCTCCACCCTCCCCACCTACCCCAAAGCGGCCCTGGTCCAGGTCTTCTATGACCTCCATGTGGCCAGATCCTTGTCCACTGCTGGCAGTGGTGACAGTTGGTCACCTGTCCTCCTGCAACTCAGTCCCCACTAGGTCTCCTGGATATTGTGCCCTCAGCCAGGGCCTCCATCAATCCTCAGCTGCATGAGAATTTGACCTTCATGGATAATCCAGTCCTGGTCTCCTGGGGACCTGGTGCAAGTAGGCAGTCATCTGCACTATGGCCCCACTGCAACTGGGCCAGGATTAGGAACTCCATTCAGGATCTCCCCAGTGGGTGCTGGAGATGGGTACGGCTGACCCCAGGAAGCATTTGGCTTTTCTTTTTTTTTTTTTTAAGATTTATTTATCTGAGAGAGAGTGCATGCAAGTGCGCACAAGCAGGGGGAAGGGCAGAGCAAAAGAATCTTCAAGCAGATTCCCCGCTGAGTGTGGAGCCCAACACAAGGCTTGATCTCATGATGCTGAGATCATGACCTGAGTCAAAACCAAGAGTCAGACACTCAACAGCCTGAGCCACCCAGCCACCCCTCCTCCTCACTCTTTCACTCCTAATCCATCCTCCAAACACACCCAGAACCCAGCCCTGTTGCAACAGGGTTGTGCACCTGCCCCTCCCCCAGCGGTGGGAACAATGACTGTCCTTGGCTTCAAACCCTTCTTGGCCCCTCCACTGCTACTACAAGGCTGCTCAGAACCCTGTCTGGGCTTCCCTTCTGCTAGGGAGGCTCCTGCCCTTTGGCTGGTGCTTGGCCATATCACCCTCTCATTGAGGCCCTTCCTGAACCCCCAACCTTGAGGGCCTCTGCGTCGTCCAGTCCTCTTTCTCCCTTCGTGTCCCAGCAGAGCAGCCAGCAGTCCAATGTTTGCTGAGTAAGTGAATGAAATTAAAGAGCTATGAGACCATACTTCACACTCTTTCTCAGGAAAGCCACCTGGCAGTATGTAGATGAATCAGATATACCATTCAACAGTGGGTGCTCCCCCGGAATGGACGCAGACTCAAGGATGGTGCCACTGCCAATCCATAGTCCTTCCAGACAGGTCATGCACCCCGAAAGATTTAAGCTGTGTGAGACAGCCAATGGGTAAATGAAATGATGGGACGCGAAGAGCATGTCCATAATGTCCTCTTTCAGAAACAATGCCCCCAGGGCCAAGAAGTGTGTGTATGTGCTTTCTCCTCACCTATAAAACGGAGATCACACCCCTCCTCTTCGGGCCGCAAGAGGAGAGCAAGGGGCAGAGTCAAATGCTGTGGTGCTCATTCAATTAGATTAACTCAAAAAACCAGGCTGTCAGTATGAGTGAGGCATGGAGGTGGGTGGAGAGGGCAAAGGGGAAGATTCCTGGGGATGGGGGAGGGGGAGAGAGAGTCCTAGAAAAGCACTGAAACCAAGGCTCTCTACCTAGAAGGACCCTCACACATTACCAAGTAAAAGCATACCAGAATGCTTGTTACTAGGGTTGGAAGGGTTGTGTCCTTCCAATATTCATATGGGGAAATCCTAATCAGTGGGATAGTGTTAGGAGGTGAGGCCATTGGGAAATGCTTAGGTCATGAGGGTGGAGTCCTCACAATGGGATCAATACCCTTTTAAGACCCCTGACAGAGCTTCCTCACTCCTACCACGTGAGGACACAGCAAGAAGTCTGCAACCCTAAAAGGTCCTCCCTGACCATGGAGACACCCTGATCTCAGACTTCCAGCCTCCAGAACTGTGAGAAATGTCTGTTGTTTTATAGGCTACCTAGTCTACAGTATTTTACTATAGCAGCCCAAAGGAATTAAGACACCTGTATTCTGATTAAAAAAAAAAAAAATGAACAAAACCAATACAAAAAGTGGTACTAACTAGTTTTGAACAAGTCTGTGGCTGCATGCAAATATGTGCTAAACACTGTGGCCCTCAAACCTGACAACTGTCAGGCAGGTAAAAAGAGCCATCCAGGGCACCAAAACTGGCTTTTAGTAAGATACCCTCTCCTCCACCCTGACCCCTATGATTCTGATGCCCACCTCCAGGCTTTGCTCTGTGAGAAAAACACAGGAGTTTTTGTTTGTTTGTTTGTTTGTTTTTTAAATAAGGGGAGGGAGGGGCAGAGAGAGGGGGAGAAAATCTTTTTTTTTTTTTT